CACTGATTGCTCTTCCAGAGGTCCTGAGTTCAATTCCCAGCAACCACATGGTGGCTCACAACCATCTGTAATGAGATCTGGTGCCCTCTTCTGGTCTGCAGTCATACATGCTGTATACACAATAAATAAATAAATAAATAAATAAATAAATAAATAAATAAATAAATAAATAAATAAATCTTTACAAAAAAAAAAGATCGTAGAGAAGTCAGCACATAGGCATAGGTAGTAGTGAAATCCTGTAATTCCAACCCTAGGGGGACCAGGGCAGGAAGATCATGAGCTAAACAAAGGCCAGCCTGGGGTGCGCAGTAAGTTTCAGATCAGCATAGGCTACAGAGCAAGACTGTCTCAAAACATTAAAATTTTTTTTAAAGATTTATTTATTATGCATACAGTGTTTTGCCGGTTTGTATGCCTGCACACCAGAAGAGGGCACCAGATCTCATTATAGATGGGTTGTGAGCCACCATATGGGTGCTGGGAATTGAATTCAGAACCTTTGGAAGAACAGCCAGTGCTCTTAATCAACTGAGCCATCTCTTCAGCCCCAAAACATTTAGTTTTTGTGTGTTCATAAATTACATTTTTTAAAAAGGGGGAAGTTAATTTATTTAATGTGCATTGGTGTTTTTGCCTGCGTGTATACAAGAGGGTGTCAGGTCTTGGAGTTACAAACACTTGTGATCTGTCATGTGGGTGCTGGGAATTGAACCCAGGTCCTCATCATTGAGGAGCCATCTGTCCAGCCCCCATAAATCACATTTTTGAAATGTAATTTTCCTGGAGCCCTAGTAGATCCCTGAAGTAGTAGACGTTTGTAGGTGTCCCAAAAAGAGACATTCCCTCCACCCATCCACATCTGAATTTCACCATTTGTTTTCTGAGGGGGGTCCCTGCAGGTGTCATACAGGGAAGCGAACTGCTCCAAGAGATGAGAATGAAAACCGGGTGCAAATTGACTTCAATCTGGATGAGATTTCAGGGAGTCTATTAACAGGCGGCGGTTTATTCACAATGTATTTAAGCTCAGTGTAATTTAGGGAAAAGTTCCCTGGTGTAATACAATCCCCATTGCACAAGGAAGCGTAATTACATTGAAACTCAGCTCAGGGTACATGCCATTTCTTCCAAAATGGGTTCTGGTGCCGGGCGGTGGTGGCGCACGCCTTTAATCCCAGCACTCGGGAGGCAGAGGCAGGCGGATCTCTGTGAGTTCGAGGCCAGCCTGGGCTACCAAGAGAGCTCCAGGAAAGGCGCAAAGCTACACAGAGAAACCCTGTCTCAAAAAAAAAAAAAAATAAAAAATAAAAATAATAAAAATAAAAAAACCAAAATGGGTTCTGGAGATAGGCTACTTGTACATAAGGGTCTAGCCTGGTCTCAGTCATACAGAGAAAGAGCATAGAGATCATTGGGCCATTAGCGTCCTCTGGTTCTGGTTGTGGAGCTGGGGAGCCTCTGGCTGTAAGGGTCATTTCGATGACCAGCCCCCTCTGTCCTAGACGTAGGGGCCTGATATGGCCTGGCCCGACAGATAACACAGCTCATCAGGCTGCTAGTCACCTCCAAGTCTCAGCTTTCTGCATGGAAGAACAGGTTTTTCACCTTTCCCGTTGCGAAGACAGTCCTGTGTGCTTAACATTCCAGGATTCTCTGGATCTGTGGGCCCAAGGACCTGTGTGCTGTGCTCCCAACATTTATCTCTTCTCCACCCTCACATGATACTCCGTTTATAGACCTGAGGACTCAATTATTACTTATTGAGACAAAATCCCATGTAGCCCAGACTGGCCTCAAACTTGCTATACAGCGGAGACCAACCTCGAACTCTTGATCTTCCTGCTCCACCTAACAAGTGAGGTTCCATGAGCCATCATGGTTGGCTTAGTCTCTCTCAATGGAAAATCTGGGCTTTTTTTTTTTTTTTTAGAAAAGAATCTCCCTTCCCTTCAAGACATGATTCCTGGATTTTATTTTGGGGAGACATACATGCTTTTCACAGTCGCAGCTTTTCAGGGATATACACAGAACAGCAACGTCCTCAGTGAAGCCAGTGGGGAGCCCACATGTCAACCATGGTTTATGAACTGTCTTCAACACCAAGTTGCTGGAGAAGGCAGAAGAATAGTAACCCTTGTTCCCAGCCAGGATCTCCACGACAGGTTCTTCCGGGGTCAGCTCCGGTTTTGGCAAGTCTAGCAAAACACTTCCAAAAGCTTGCCATTGTGGATCTTCTCTTCAGGCAGTGGTTAGCAGGCCACCTGTCCCCACTGTGGTCTCTATGGCAACAGTCACATGCACAGTTGTGGATTTGGTTCCCTCTGCGGGGCTGGTCCTGCTGGCCTCCAAGTTGCTAAAAGTCTTTTACAAGTCTCTGGACCCTTCTCGATCAGAAGTTGCTCTCCCTCACTCCAGCAATACCCCCCCCACACACACACACACTTTCATATTCTCAAATGGTACCCACAATTCCTCAAACACAGAATTGGAGCCATGAGGGCAAGGCTAAAAATCATCGACTGTGTGTCCTGTACCTGGCACATTGTAGATGTTCAGGAAAAATTTGTTGGTTGAATGATTAAAGTTGTCCTACACTCAACCATATATGACCCCTCAACTTTATCTAGATTTACTTAAATGAAAACTTCACTCACTTAGATGTATCCAAGTAACACCGTTATTACTCACAAGTGTCACAGACAGGGATTTTTCATCCCTCTTTATTCCAAGATCCAAGTACCATTCTGGGATACAGTAGGTATGGAGTAGACATCTGTAGAGTGAACAAAAAAGGAGGGGGAGGGGGTTGGGGGTAAGAACAA